AAAAAAATGATCAATGCGACACCACTTGTGCCAAGACTTCCGTTTCAAAATTCTTTCATCTGACAACTGCAACAACTATGAGCGAAATCTTTGACAAACTAGTTGCATACTGCATCAGTACAGTCCTATCAGGATCATCGGGTGTCACGAGCTTCTACACTCTTTTCCTCATGGGATGTATCGAACGATACGATCCCGATCTGTTGAGCATGGGCGACACGATGGACAAGATTCTGGCGTCGATGCCAGCCCTCATTGTTCTAGGCTTTCTAGCGTTTCTCGAGTTTCTGGCTATGTGTATCCCTGTGGTAGATGAGCTGGTTGACGGGTGCATGACTCTGGTCGTTCCATTCATCAGCATTATTTCAACACTTGGAACATGGGGTCTCTATTTGCCTGATGAATTGAACGAAGCCGCCGTCATCTTCAATGGCGATACCGGTAATAATAGCACAAGAATGCTGGAAGAGGAAACCTTTGGCGGAGATCTGAAGCAAGGTGTTGGTTTCGCCCAGATTTTCGCACTAGTCACCGGCGTATGTGTTGCGCTTGCAGTACATCTCATTAAGATGTTGGTGAGATTGTTCGGTGAAGGATGGTTGACGAACATATTGGCCGTTTTGGAGATTATTATTGTGACATTCAGTATCATCGTTGTGGTCTTCATTCAGTATGTTGCAATCCTCTTTGCTGCCTGCCTCTTGGCTTCCATGCTATGGTACTTTACGAAAGGAAGACGAGAGGCAGCCAAAAAGAAAAAAGAGCAGGAGGAAGCCAAGAACCAGCAGCAGCAGCAGCAGCGAGCCGTCCCTGAAGCTGTCCCTGAAGCAAACCAGCAAGAGGTCATTCAAGAGGCGAATCCCCCACCCTTCAATCCAGAAGTGAAGGACGCGGAAGCATAAAACAATGTTCATGTGCTTGTTGAAATATCCTATCACCGTCATTGGGATACGTCCATATATACGTCCATTTATGTGACTATAAATTAAATTTTTGTTTGTGCAAATCAGCAAGGTTGATTCTTCGATTTATATTAGCATTGATAGTTGAGTGGACCAATTTCAATCGTCCATTTTATGCCGGTAGTTTGTCGGTTATCGCCATGAAAGAGACTGAAAAATGCCCCCTAAAGAGCAGAAACCCTGCAATTTCAAATTTCAGAGTGCCCATCACGACGGACGGACGTTTTGTGCACCTCCGACCAAACATGAAAATATGGAAGATTTTGGATCAGAACTCTGCGCCCGAAAATATTGCCGACGCCCAACCAAACACCTCTCTTGGTCGGTATTCTCCAAAAGTTGACGCTCAAGCGGAAGCAATTCAATTTCACAACCATGAGATCAAGTACGACGTCGCTTCTGGGTTTTCTGCTTCTTTTGGGCAGTGCCATGTGTAAGAATGATTCAGATTGGACTGTCGGCATCCAATACCCTCATTTTCCCAACTTATTTGCGTTTTCCCATATCAGCCTTCCAATCTTCCTCGAACAATAATCAGAGGCTAAGCCCATTATGCATGGGTACCAACTCAGACGAAATGGTAGAGTAATTCTTGTATTGATTCTGATTGTCGCTTGTTGCATTGGACGAACCTCACATGATATTCCATGTCGTTTTTTTGTTGACGTACGCACTCACTTCGAAACCAATAGATGCGATTGAAGAAAGGGTCAACAGTTGCCTTGCTGACGCCATTCACTGTAGAGGGAAAGATAGATATTCCTGGCTTGGAAAAGTTGCTTCAATTCCACCTTGAGAATGGTACAGACAACTTATGCGTACTAGGGACAACAGCTGAAGCCTCAACAATGAGCATGGACGAGAGAGCTCTTGCCTTGACAACCATTGTCAATGCTGTAAAGGGCAAAATCCCAGTAATGGTTGGAACTGGAACAATAAATCCCGATTCGGTGAAGGCAATGACGCAACAAGCTATTGATTTAGGTGCTGATGGCAATCTCCTTGTAACCCCGTATTATGTCAAGCCACCACAACGGGCTCTCGTTCGCCATTTCACTGAGATCGCCGATATGGGATTGCCTGTTATTCTTTACAATGTACCAGGAAGAACTGCTTGCGATATCAGTGATGAGGTAGTTGTAACTATGGCGGAACATGAACACGTTGTTGGTATTAAGGACGCCACTGGAAATTTGGACAGATTGGCTTCGTTGAAGAAGGCATTGGGCAGCAAAGACAAATCCTTTTTGAAGTATAGTGGTGATGATGGAACAACAGCTGAGTTCGTAATTGCCGGAGGGGATGGCTGTATATCAGTCACGGCAAACTTGGTGCCTGCCAAAATGAAGGAAATAATCCATGCGGGATTGGACGGTGACGCAGAGTTGGCTCGCAGGTTGAACGAACCACTTGCTCTGCTACACGATAAGCTTTTTGTAGAGAGCAACCCTATTCCAGCAAAGTGGGCAGCAAAGCGTGTGGGTTTGATGGACTTGGCCACCTGCCGGCCCCCATTGGATGAAATGGACCCAGCGTACAGCAGTGTTCTTGAGGAAGCGCTCCGATCTGCTGGTCTGATCTAGACACCAACTCAAAAATGCTACCACTTCCCACGTGTTGTATTGCTTATAGGCTGTCATAGCCACTTATGGTGCGGTGATGTGACGTTCTTACTGCACTCGAAGTTAAATAGATGTCAAATGATGAACCGACAAATAGATTATAAACACTCCATGTTACTATAAACAACAACGTTCGATTATTGCACAAAATATACAAGCTAATGAACACGGCGAATCTTATTATGGTATTATCAGGTATGTTTTGATAATGTCTTCAGCTCAACGCCCACTGTCCCGTGTTGAGGAGCCGCCTGAGATGAAGTAAAACAAACAGTTCCGATTAGGTTTTGCTAATGCTTCCATGGACATTTTCTTTTCGAGAACTTACGTTGCAGAGGTCTTCTGGTAGAACAGATTTCGATTCGATTGCTGGAGCCATTCGATGAACTTCAACCTTTTGTCTTGATTCCGTTATTGATGAAGACGTATCTGTTGATTTACCAGCACCTTTCAAACTTAGCTGCGGCGCCCCATTCTTGAAATCAACCTTGATTCCAATTTGCCCAGCCTTTAGATCGTCAGGTGACATATCATCTTTTTGCCATTCTCTATCTTCCTTTAGAGATTTAAGAGCTTCCTTCAAATCCCAGTCAGCAAGCTCCAAGTATGCCCGAGCCTCCGTTTGACTACTATCGGGATATTCAGCTTGAAAGAAGGACAATTTGAACTCTTTGGTATCGGTATCCTGGACACGAATATAACCAGTTCTTAGCGCTTGCTTTGATAAAGGAATCAATAGCTTCTTTGGTGCGGAATGAAGTTGTCCCGAAAAATGGTTCGCTCGCCTTAGACTCGCAACGCTGACCTTATATGCAATACATATACCTTGTAGGGTATCTGTTGGAAGTACCACATGTTCCACGTAATCAACGCCAAGAACGCCCTTGCCTGATGGTCCTAGTGCGTTATCCTGTGAATCAATGGTAGATGAGGATAGCGTTCTTTGAATTTTGAAAGGAACTGATAGGGTTGTGTGCGACGAAGTTGAATGGTCGTGTTCGATAGATGTTATCGATCTGACGGAGCCTGCTTTTGGAACCATAACACCTGTAGTTGACTGATGTGAGAAATTTGCAGATAAGACCTCCCAATCATTGTCTTCAGTTTCCTTCGGCTCGCGCTGAATTAAGCCTCTCGGTACCTCAATAACTGGACTTGCTTCATCTTCTTCTTCGTCCATATCTACAACTTCTTCCATCTCTTCCTTTTCAGGAATCAAATTGGGGGTACCAGTCTTCTGTGTACATTCGGAACTCTCTAAATCAGTCTCCTCAGCCTGCGGTGCAGGAGATCGAACATCCTTCCTCGGCCCTGCCATATCAGCTTGTATCTCCGAAGAGATAGCTGCTACTGCAGATACCAGCTTTTCTGCCCACGGAAAGAGTCTCACTTCAGCCATCGCTACTATGTTGACTTCTCTGATAAGCAGTTAGTAACGTTGATGGAAATTCTTTCTTCGAAACTTGGGACCGCCACGACTTGAGTCATGTCTAGAGCACCTTTTTTGTCGGTTGAATTCACGCGGGCTGGGTCGATGGACGCGCGGGAGGTTTTGGTCGCATTTCTTCAACCCGAACCGTAAGCGATACCAAATCCGAACAATGAAGTCACTTCTACCACAATAACTCCTTCTTTCACAATAGAAAGGACAGCTTCAATCAGTGCAACCATGAAATCGATACTCTCTATCTCCAGTCTAGTAGCCATAATGGTAGCTCTTGCTGGCATCCAATCGGTGCAGCCAAAAGAAATCCTTGCACGAAAGATTGAATTTGTGAACCGAAGTGGCAAGAAACTTGTGGTTGAATGGGTCAATCCGAAGACTGGTGAAGTCGTGACGATTCAAGACGAGCTTGGAAATGGTGAGATATCGACCCTAGATACCTTTGTCAATCACACCTTTGCAATCCATGAACCAGGAAACGAATCCTGCACTTCGGAAATCTGCGGAGTACAGTACGTGACCGTCACTGAAAACAAGGAACAAAGTAAGACCACAAATGTTCATTCTATTTTATTTGTGCTTCATCTTTGACTAACAATCTCTATTCTTTTCGATACCAGTCGCGGTTATCAAAAGTGGTCTAAAGGTGGAACACGAAGACGACGAATCAAGGTCGATCCAAGAAGCAGCGGGCATTGGAGCAGATTGCAGAGATCAAGCCAAGAGACGCATTCGATTGGGTGAAAATCCAAGCAATGTCATGGAGAATCTTGGAGAATGTATGGAGCAAACTGTTGCCAAGAAGATTCAGCAAAAGAATGATGAGATTGCCTTTGAAAGTCAAATTCGTCTTGCGCTATCGGGCCAACTGGAGAACCACACCTGCGCGGACCCAGAAAAGGAGACAAGTGAAGCCGTTGACACAAAAATATGGACACACAACAATGTGAAAAGAGAAGTTTCTATTCTTCATGATCGACCAGCCAGTCAAATTCATGCTATCAAGAACTTTATTTCTGCCGAGGAGTGTGATGCCATTTCCAAGGCAGCTGCGCCTCTTTTGCATCGTGGGACCGTCGCTGATGGAAAGGGAGGATCTCGCTTATCAGACCACCGAAAAGCCATGCAAGCTGGGGTTCGCGTACCATGGGAGCGAGAATCCAAGGGAGACCTCATTGCTAGAGTCGTGAGAAGACTCTACGACTACACCAACGATGCTGTAGGGTATAATTTGACAGTTGAAGGTCAAGAAGATCTGATGTCAATTCAATACTTTGGAGCGGGTAGAAACTCAACAGAATCTCCAGATCAGTACAGACCTCATTGTGACGGCGACTGCGATGGACTGCCACACAAAAGTGGTGGACGTGTGGCAACCATGGTGATGTACTGCGACGTGGAAGGTCTCGTCGGAGGGGCCACGAACTTTCAAAATGCAGGGGTTTACGTCAAGCCCGAGTTGGGAGCAGCAGCTTTCTTCTCCTATTTGGATCCATTGACAATGAATGTGGAAACTGGATTCACAACTCATAGTGGGTGTCCTGTGATTGAAGGCACTAAGAAAATTGCTGTTCATTGGATGAGAGTCGGAGTTGATGAAGAGAACCCATGGGATTCTTTCAACACGCTTACAATCAAGAAGAGCGACGAGGAGGAATTTGATGATTAGATAGATCTCTCAACACTTCAGAGAGTGATTGATTCATTCAATCTCCGAACAAAGATTCGTCAATCAAAAGTGTAAAATAAAGGAAGTAATATTTTGGGAAAGATACTTTTTTCTTTTTCGAAGTCTCTCGAAGGTGGTAGAGAAATGTGAGCGGTTTTTGGCACGGTCATCGTGTCTCCTCATGTCTTTCGACTGGCTTCCACGTCTCGATGAAAAATGACTTTCCGTCCGAGCATTCTGCACGTAGATAATGTACCAGGTCCATGGCTGCGTCTGCGTTAGAGGGTGGATCGACATTTCTCACTTTTGCAATCTTTGGCTGTCGTCGCATTTTGAACAACAATGCCTTCCGACCAAGACTTTACAACGGAAGCTGAAGACTGGAAGAAAAAAGGCAATGCGGCCTTTGGGAAGTCAGATCTAGATACTGCGATTCAAGCGTACTCTCAAGGTCTCGTACAGGTTGACCGAGTGGTCGCAACTCCTTTCCTCCTAAAAACGACGCTTTTGTCGAATCGAGCAGCTTGTTATCTCAAGCAAGGAAAAGTAGAGGAGTGCAAGGATGATTGCGACTCTGCTCTCAAGATTTTGGAGAACGAAAATGATACCAAGCTTAGAGGGAAGCTCTTGTACCGACGCGCCAAGTCTTTGTTCATGAGGGCAAATATGCCGCATCGAAAACAAGACGACGACCTGCAATTGGCGGCCAAGGATCTGCTCTCGTTGATTTCTTTCGACGCTACTAACAAGGATGCGACTGTACTGTTGAACACAATCCGGGCGCAGCATGCTACAGAGACCAAGAATAATGCCAAGACCCCTCTTTCCAAGACACTTGAAGCCATCAAGAAAAAAGATAACAAGATGGTCCACAATTTGAAAGTCCTTCTTGGAATGCTTTCGAATGACAATGTTTTGGCGAGCATGGAACTAGGAAGACTATCTGGTGTGTCAACATTACTAGAAGTCGCTGCCGATGAATCTCTCGAAGCCAAGGCACGATACCTCTCGCTTCAGTGTTTGTCGTGCGCCGGCTCCCATCCACCATTCTGCCGAAAATTCATGACGGAAGGCGAAGTGCAAACAAAACTATCAGAAACAATGATCAAGGCTGCTGCAGAAGAAACAACATATGATGTAACAATCGGATGCCTAACTGTCTACTTGCGACTAATTTTGCATTTGGACCGTGACCACCCCGACGAAGAAATTAACAGCTCCACCCTGTTAATTGACGATGCCATAATTCCTGGCCTTGTGGAGGCGTTGTCTACAAATGATATTGCCGTAATCCGCGTGACCATCGATGTGATTGCTACCTGGCTTGCTGGAAAGGACCTTGTTAATGTTATCCGGGCATCATTGGACACTTTCGTGGATCCAACCGTGCCCGTCGAAGTGTCAAAATATGAAATGCAAACTATGAAACCACAGGCATTGTCAAGATATAAGCAAAGGAAGTATAAGACCACAAAAAGAAACGAGAAATGGGCCTTCGATCGCTCGGAGGCCTTCTGCAAGGCTGGGGGCTTGGAAACACTTTTGAAATGCGCTCTAGGTTGCGAAGACGTCAATTTCAGAAGGGAAATCACAGTTGTCTTGGCAAAGGTCATTACGGTGCTTGAAGACGAAGACAAGAGGAAAGAGGTTGTAAAAGACTATTTCCATGTGACACCTCCGAAGAAAGAGCCGGAAGATGAAAAGAAAGAAGAAGAAAGGCTAGGGCCAGTCATCGAAGAGATCACTGAAGACGAAGAGGAAGGGAAGGTAGTCGATGTGCAAGAAGAAAAGGAAGAGGAAGAAGATGTGGTAGAAGAGAAGGAGGTCACACCCATGCTGATGATGCAGAGGGCCGAGCTTGCAACGGTATTTCTCATGGTCGAACCAGAGATTGGGGGATGGAGTATTGGTCGTGGTTGGCCTGGTTGCGAGGACCACCTCATCAGATGTGCTCAATCCAATAACAAGCTGGCACAAGTTTTGGTTGCAGAGCTCTTGGCCGCTGCTGCATCTATCAAAACATGCCGTCCAACTGTCGCTACCTGGATTGGTACCACCGACATTAAGTTGTTGGTAGCGCACAGCGACCGTGATATTCGAACTGCTGCCGCATCTGCAGTAGCCAAGCTCGGTCTAGGGGAAGAAAAAACACAAGATATCGATATCATTTCTTTGTTAGAGGCTGCCTGCTACATGTTGGAGGATGACGGAAGCAACGATACAAAGAAAGTAGAAAAATTGGATGTCAATATTCCTACAGCGAAATCCGGCGCCACTACATCAGTTGAAAGAGGTGTGGAGGTTATGGCATATCTGTCGTCGAGAACAATCGTCAAAGAAGAGCTCGCACATGGATTCCAAGCAACACCAGACTCCGCCCATACAGGCTTGGAATTGATGGTCAAGGCGGCCGATATGCCAAGTGCAGGTGAAGCTCTTTTTGCATTCGGGCTTGCTTCTACATTCCAGATGATGGCTGTCACCCCTCTAACGTTGAGAAAGGAAGCGTTCGAAGGAAAACAAATGACGATGGAACAGTACGACGAGATCAAAGCTATGCAAAAGACAGAAGAAGAAAAGGAGCTTGACACCAGTGAAGACGAACTGAAAGAAGATAATGCTGACCAATGCGCAAAGAGAATTCAGTTGATGGCCAAGGCAAACGTTCCACGGGCTTTCGTACAATTGACAGAAGGAGCAAGTGAACAGACCTTGGATCAAGTAATTCTTGGGCTAAATCGAATGGCGAACGAGCCATCAGTTAGAGGGACGATGATCCAACAAGGAGTTTTGAGCCGTATGATCAAGATCGAAAAGGAAGAGAAAGCTCCTTCCGAGCTTCGCAAAAAGATCGTCCGAATGATTTGGCACTGTATTGCGAAAATGCTGGTCACAACAAACCCGGGACTTCTCACCTCCGCCCAGAAGATGGGTTCCATCAAACCGTTGATCCAGCTGGTCCGCGATGTCCACTCTACAGATTTCCAAAAGTTTGAGGCATTGCTGGCGCTGACGAATCTCGCGGCTTCGGGTGACGACACGAAGAATAAAATTGCTGCCGAAAAGGGAATTCCAGCTTTCAAATTTGCAATGTTTGCAGATCACGAGTTGGTCAAGAAAGCTGCTACTGAATGTTTATGCAACATGGTCCCGAATGAAAAGTTCATGGAAACTCTAAGAGATGTGGAAGAGTTGCGTTTGTGGCTTGCATTGGCCGATGACTTTGAAGAGAACTACGAATGCGCCCGCGCCGCTGCTGGCTGTTTGGCAATGGCAACTGCGGATCCTGGAGTTGCAAACACATTGGTTTCGATAAAGAACTTCAAAGAAAGAATGGACTCCGTCCTTGGGAGTGGTTCATTGGAAATTATGCACAGAATACTCGTCGTTGTGCAAAACTTAACCGAACACGGCGGTGAACTACGACAAAAAGCAGTTGAACATGGACTGGTAGCATTTGCAGAAGCGTATGCTGATTCGTATCATGACGGCTCGAAAGCGGCCGAGCTGGAGCTCGCTGAACAGGACTTGGCTGTCATGCATTCAACAATTGAGATTTCTAAGGAGATTGTTCGTAATTGCCAGAGTTCAATAAGCCAATAGGTATCGAGAATAAAGAAACATGAAACCATCAAACGACTTCAGACTAAGCTAATACTATTGTTTGCATCGTTTGGTTTGACTCCTGCGACCGATGACGTACTTTTCGTCACTCTGTTTCTCCATTTACTACATGTGAACATCAATTTGCGGCTTCTTTTCAAGCCGCGAATCTCTTCATCTTCAACTTCCTCATCATCATCACCACGCGCACTTTTCAATAAAACAATGGCGCTTGAGTCAATAAGTAAAAGAACAGACAAGATTCTAATTTTGTTACTCCTATTCGTTGCTTCTGCTGATGCGCTAAATGGGAGGATCTCGCATCTGGGTCGGCCCGTGCCGAAAACAGTGACGCTAACGCCTTCAACACACGATACTGTTAATACCTTGAATCTATTGCACACATCGAAAGAGGATGCTATCCAAATAGAGTCAGAGATTGATGTTATTGAAAACAATTCCACTCTGGAAGAAAACATCTTAAGACAGCTGGATAAGAAAACAATAGCAATTGGCTCATTTGCAACCGGTCTTGTCAGTGTTTCAGCTTTGGCTAAATTTGGAATATTGAATGGCCCATTGGATACCTCGAGCCAAACATATGGCGCTTACACAAGTGGATTGATCGGTCAAGACATTGGGATGACAATCTTGACTGCATTCCTCGGATATGCTTTGGTCAAGTTGATATCACTGGGTTACGAAAAGGATTTGTATGGATCAAAGGTCTCAAGGAAACTGTCACACGTTCTTTCAGCCCCACTTTTCATGGTCTTTTATCCACTCTTCTCTGCCGCCGATGGGAGCCGTTTTTTTGCGGGTGTAGTCATCATGTCAAACATTATTCGTCTGTATCTTGCAGGCATTGGCCTGGATGAAAAACTCGCCAATTCAGTAAGCCGATCGGGAGACAAATCAGAAGCATTGGAAGGACCATTCATCTATGTCTGCCTGTTCGAAATATTTACACTTCTATTCTGGAGGAACAGTCCTATCGGCGCAGTTGCGATTTCTACGATGGCTGCGGGAGACGGAATGGCTGATTTGGTTGGAAGAAAGTTTGGACGAAACAACAAATGGTGGTTTTCGAAGGAGAAGTCAATAGCCGGGACAGTTGCCTTTGTGGTAGCATCGGCCCTGACATCGTTTGGAGTTGTGCAGCTGTTCACGACAACAGGCTATATACAATCTGCACTGCTCCCTATTGAGCTCTTGACACGTGTATCCATCATTAGTGTGATATGTGCTCTGGTTGAGTTGCTTCCATTCGGGGACGACAATTACAATGTACCTATAACTGCTGCTATCCTTGCAAGCCTACTCTTGCAGTATTGAAATACAGTGCAGAAGAACAACTAAACCAACTTAAATAGCAAGGTCTTCAGTCTAGAACTTTGATATGGTGATTGAAATATGAATCTATATAAAAGGTATTTGCCTCTAATTGAAATCTTTTGTCAGGTGTCCCGTCTCCATCGAATAGATGGTTCGACTCGACTCCGTCATTCTGCATGATATATGGAATACCACGCGCATCGAAATCAGAAAGCAGCAAATGGTGGGAATGTTTTGTAGATGCGGCGATCTTCCCGTCGCAATCTGAGTGGTGATATGTGGCTGCATTGCATTGAGCTACATCAAACCACCGCCACCACTAACAACTAAACATTCCCGAAATTAACCTCAGGTATTAAGTGCGGGCAAATCCGACAATGACTTTGCTTGCCCTGGTTTCATCTTTCTCTTTCCCGGTCGCATATTACTGCTCCCGCCCTTCCTTGCCTTTGCTTCGAGCGCATTGCGAAGATTGGACGAAGAATCCTACACACAAGACAGACGGGACAAGGTACGATCAGTCAAACAGGTGCTAAAATGCCAAATGAACATGACGAGCCATGATCGACTTACATCGTTCTCCTTCAAATAATTGAGATCGAAGAGAGACGCCCAATATCCCTTCGTCATTTGGATCAAAGTGAAGGGGTTCAAAATTGCTCCCAAAATGTATGGAAGCGAGAATAGTTTTAGCCCACGTGACTTTTTCTTTTTGGGTTTGGAAGCGGCCAATCCTGAAGCGACTGCCTTCTTTGCTGCCTTGGTAACTTTCTTTTGCGTCGCCTTTACCAAGGTTTCTTCTTCCTCCTCCTCTTCTTCTTCATCGTAGTCGCTGCTCTCAATATCCGACATCTCTGCGTCGACGACAGCAGCAGCTCCTCCTCGGGAGACCAACATCGGAGAGAACTGGCTCGTATGTGATGGACAAACAAAACTCATGGAAGGTCCACCCATGAGTGTTCTAGCTTCCACAGAAAAGAAGCATAATGTGGATAGGTATGCCAATAGGGCAACCAAAGATATTATCTTGGACGCCATTCTTGATGAACAATGTGTCTCGCTATATTCCTTTCAAGTTTCGTTGGAAGTGATGTCCGTTTGGTGGCACTGACAGACGTGCCACGTGTAAAACTGCTCGCTTTCAAAGCGCGCGAAAAAGAAAAGCACAGGCACCAAACATGGGAATAATTGCGGGTGGCCATTCATTATTTGAAACGTTCATCGATTTATTCTTCTCGGATCTTGACAACACGACCAACTTGTCAAGTGTTCCTTTCGCCTTTCTCTGTCATTGATCACTACAGTACAGTCAATACTTAGTTGAAGCAGTTCACGCCAAAATGCCCCGTAATCAAGGAACCTCGCGAAAGGGGAAACCAAAGAAACATGAACGGGCTGCTGGAATGGGTCGAGCTCTCCAAAAGTCGCGGGGGCGAAAGCACATACCTTCCGCCAGTACAGGAGGTATGGCGATGCGACAAGGTGTCGACTCTATCAATATTGAAAAGGAAGACAATAGGGCGTCTGTGCTGCAACTGAATGATTTGGATGACTTTCTGATTCAAGCGGAGATGGCTAACCGTGACTTTGTTTCCGAAAAGGAGCGATTTGTCGTGTTGGACTCTACCACGCAAGCACATGAGTACGAGGAGGAACGTGTTGAGAGTGTATCATGGGACGACCGAGCGATCAAAGGAGCAAACACATTTGCCTTTCAAGAGCTTAGTGTTCCAAGACGACCAGCTTGGGACGAAACAACGACAGCACAAGAATTGGATGCCCGAGAAAAGGAAGCCTTTCTAGAATGGCGACGTGCTATTGCACTAAAGGAGGAAGAAATTGCACTCAAGGGACACGCTGGGCTTGGAGTGACTCCATTTGAAAAGAATTTAGAGATTTGGCGTCAACTATGGCGTGTGATGGAGAGATGTTCCTGTATTGTCCAAATCGTCGACGCCAGAAATCCACTCTTTTATTTGTCAAAAGATTTGCGAAAATATGCTACCGAGGAATTAGGCAAACCCATGATTCTATTGGTGAACAAGAGTGACTATCTCTCGCCTCGGCAACGGCAAGCATGGCATGAGTACTTTTCGCTACCCGAACACCAATGGGATCATGTTTTCTTCTCGGCTCACGAACAACAAAAAATTTTGGATGAAGCTTCTGAGCCTACCGATAGTGCAGCTTCTAGTGATACCGCTACACCGCCCAGTGCAACTAGCGACATTGGAGTGGACGTCCCTCTAAGTCGTCAAGGGCTTATCAGTTGGCTCATGGAATACGCCGCGAAGTACAACTGTGATCTTGATACCAAATATGGCCGTATCCCATTCGGAATGGTTGGGTTTCCCAATGTTGGTAAATCTTCCGTCATTAATGTCTTGATGGGTAACGCGAAGCATGCTCACGGTGTCACCCGCGTTGGGGTTGCCGCAATGCCCGGAAAAACCAAGCACTTTCAAACCCTACTTCTTCCAGACAGGGACGACATTCTTTTATGCGATTGTCCAGGTCTTGTCTTCCCATCCTTTGTCAACAATACTGCTGATCTCATTGCAGCTGGTGTCTACCCCATTGCTCAAATGAGAGACCCTTGGCCAGTTATGAACCTTTTGTGTCGACGCATTCCCAGAGAGGTGCTGAATGCTCAGTATGGAATCCAAATCCCCATGCCAACGGCAGATAGCATGTTACAGGTCAAAGATGGCACCATCCCACCACCAACCGCCGAGGAATTCCTCAATACGTATTGCGTTGCCCGAAGTCTTTTTGCTGCCTCCAGTGGTGTACCCGATGTTCAACGTGCATCTCGGATGATCATCAAGGAATATGCAACTGGAAAGCTTTTGTACTGTCACTCTCCACCTGATTTTGATTATGATGATTTTCAAAAGGAGACCATGCTCACCGCGATTCAAAACACGAAAAAACTTAGAGAAAAACTGGGAGCAATCGATGCACTTGTCCCTGGCGACAATGGGGAAGCTAGTGCTTCAGTGGTATCCGACGAGAGCGACGACGAAAAACCGAATGATGTGGACCTGGATGCAGTTGATGACGACGACATGTTGTTTGAGTTGATGGGAGAGCCAGAGTCATCAAATCAGAGTGCGGCCAAACCTGGAAAGAAAAAGAAATGGGGAAAGAAGGGACGAAAGTTGAGAAACAAGGACCCTTATGGGTGTCATTCCACTCCAGACGACAGTCTGGGAGGCAGCAGTACTGCTGTGGTTGGAGTTTCTGTCAGTGCTGGAAAGTATGGCAAGAAAGGATACACGCGACCAACTACCTACAGCGGCGCAAGAAGTGTTGCCTAAGAATACTAACCAACGTCTTTAGAAACATCATTCGCTGTTGCCATATTGTCTTTTTTCTTTTTCTGTGGGCATATTCTTTGGGGAGCTAGTTGATCTGACTGGAGTTTAGTATTGAAGTAGTGCTCAATGCCATGTTCGACATGTACTGTATGTTATGGGTGCTAACTACAGTGCGGAATCTCGATAGAGGCAGTCGAAGATAGGCATGCGGAGGGTTAACATATATCATTCAAGAGAGTGATACTGTGGGTGATGATTCAGATAGTATTGGTACCTGGTACTACTGTAGTGCCTTCTACCGCAGCAGATATTCAGAAGCGGACGCAGACTGACGCTCGGGAGTAAAGTCAGTCACGTTTTGAGTTTTTGTTTTCTCCAACAATGAAAATGCATGCAATGGCCATTTTTACGACGACTGACTTTCAATCATTCTTTCTGTGCAAAATAATCAACAATGTCTCAACAGGCACTCTCTCGCTCGACCTATGTTGGAAACGTTCGAAGGGCTGTATTGTTGAGGGCCCATCCCGACAGGTTTCGAAGTCATGGAGATGATGAGCGCCGACGAAGGCAAGAAACTTTGTTGAAAGAGTTAGGTGCACGAATATCAGAAAGTGACTTTAGCGATTATACAACTTACAGAAAAAGCCAAATTCCATTCCGAAAAGGCCCTTCACGGTTTATTCCGTTCGCCCTTGAGAGGAGGGATGGGTCGATTCTCGATGACAAACTTGACATCAATGATTCTGTGGAAGGGATATTGCAAAGTCTAGCAAATTTGTTGAAAAAGTCTGGAGCGGTGCCACCGAAACCTCCTCCCGCAGACGAGCCGGTATTTAATCAGGACGCAAACATATTTGATATGCCGCAGTTTGACGCAATCGATCGCCGTTTTGACTTGAATACGGCGAAAGGAAGAAACCTACTTTCATTTGTTGACGGACTTGACAGTTCGGAGGTGGAAAGACGTCGAACATCTCGTTTGGACGCTGTGGCAATAGCTTCAGTTGCTCGTCAAATGTACTCGTTTCAAGCAATTGATGGCATCCGTCTCGGTTGGAGTTCACAAAATTTTGCAGTTCTTGTTTCTAGTGTGGTCAGCCTCCATGAAGAGCACAGCAAGAAGTTCAATGTCACATCCTTCTACCCACTACGATTGGTATTTACACCAGATGAAATGCGAGATCCATTAGATCTTCACGGAGGAACAATCTACCTCCACCCTGCAGATACGCAACTTCAGTGGCTTAACGTGCTGCAAGAAGTCACCGAATCAAAGCTTCTAGAGTTGGAGCACAACAGAGAAATGGCAAACCAACGAACCTCGTTGCTCCAGAATGCTTTGGGTGTCAAGGTGGTAAAAGGGTATTCCTGTTCGTCAAGGGAATATCACATATTCCTGGCAAAAATGGCTGAAAGCCTCAGCGAAACACTAGATTCTACAAATGATGAATCAACCGCACTTCAAGTGGAGAGCTTGCGAGTGGTTGTTGAATCGCCATCAGCCTCCCGACGAATTCGATTGACAGAAGAAGGTTACATACGGGGAAATAGTGCCATGTCAGAGTCAGATCTCAGAAAAGCAATCGCTAGGCTAGCCCACGATGCACAGGATCGAATGAAGCAGGAAAAAGAGTACACGGAGAAGTGCAAGGAGATGACAAGGCAGATACAGTACAGTCTCGGTTTACAGCGCGTTTTTCGAAAGGGTGTCGTCAGCCGAAAGGAATTTCTCATTTCTCTAGGACGATTGCTGGAACAATCGTCTAATCTGGGAAACAGTTTATCAGGGTTTTCTTTGGGTATTGGGACCAGTGGCGTGTTTGCTCATTTGAGTGACGATGGTAGCTTGATCGTCCCCTATGATTGGAGATGACACAACAGGAAATTTTAATGGAGACTCGTCAATGCTTAGGACGCTCCTGTATCCCCAATGAGTTAGCGCTTGTTCTACGTCTTGCTTGTTCTAC